AAATTCAGGATTCCGCTAAAGTGCCTAAAAGTTTGAATAGAGTAACTAAACATTACAAGCTGTTTAAGCCCTCTTCTCCTCATCTGACATGCTGTCCCCAGCTGTATCTCTCGGATGTTGACAACAGCATGACAAAGTGTGCCAGGATCTATCATCATCACGAAAACATCATCATCTCCTTACCTGCTACAGTGGCAGATATACAGCTTCTCCTCTTGGCTGTTAAGTCAAGGTAATTTCAAACCAGATACTTTTAATAATATGTGTGTGTTTATATCATACGTATCTCTAAATATTTCTGAACATACACACACACACACGCAGATACACACAAATAATTAGAACCAACAAATTATTTTCTGATCTCTACTTTCAACTCGGTGTTTCATTTTCTGTGTGCAAATGGCAACAATCCTTCAGGATTTGGCAGTCACTTTTGGCACACATGAGACTGAAAAAGCTTTACTCATTTGATTATCAAATGAATAAAAACAAGAATTCACATACCATGAACACCTGAGCCAAGACTACCATAGGAAAACCGACAGCATTACTGCATGGTATCTGAAATTTCTCATGACAACAGTCCTGGATTGATTTCCGACAACGCTACAAACTTTTTTACAGAGGCTGAAGTTTTCTATATCCAGTATCTATTTCAGACAGACATTCTAACATGTCAGCCAATATTATACAAAAGTTTCCATAGGGAAGCTATGGAAAAACAACAATATTGTTCTGGTAAGATTACATGATTTCAGTTATGTTAATGGAGTAGGCTTAACACCCATTTGCATGAGAAATGTACTGGTTTGTTGACAGCATGCCTAAATTTGTTCAAGTTACCCGCAGTAACCGTGCAGAGTTGTTACATTCCAGCTTAAACCTCCTAAAGATCTCATTTGAAGTAAGAACACTCTCAGGAAGCTGTGCTGGCTTTCTCTGCAATTGCTGCTCTGAAACTCTGAACTACAGACACAGTCATATGTACTTCCACCTGCCTCGGCAGGCGCAAAAAAAGGAGGGATACAGGATGTATGGCAGCTCTACCTGAAGCATGGTAACACAGAAGTAACTTAGGATAAAATTCCAGGGGCAGAAACTGGGAGCTAAGCGAACGGAGATTTGGACTAGCCTGCTACAAAACTCAGCATACCGGAGAATGAACTAACAGGTAAACAGGTAAACAGGACAGAACCTGCACTAAAAAGCTCAGAGACAATGATGACGCTGGGGGCAGGAGTAGGTGGGAGAGAGTCAGCAAGCGAGGAAGGGAAGGACAAATCCTAAAGAAGTCTTCATCTGTCAGACCACAGGATATATTTAAGGGTATTTTTGGATGTGTGATGATAGAGATGGATGCAGAGCAGAGGGAAGACAAGACATCCTGTGAGAAACTGGGTCAGTAGCTGGAGAAAGGTTATGTGAATCCTGTCAATGGAGCAGGGAAGATCATACTAGATATGGAATGAGCAATTCAGGGTGAAGGAGTAACACAAGTTTGGATTCAGTGGCAGAGGCAGGACATGCTAAGGCGTCCTCTTCTACAAAGCCTGCCTTTTTTTTTTTTTTTAACATCTCTTTCTTGCTGATTCTGAGCATATAGACTTATTTTAGACTCCTTCTGAACTGCAAATCATGAACAAACTGTTACTGGGAACTCTGAGACATAGTGTTTCCAAAACAAAACAGAGGCAGCTCTCAAAATGCCCATGGCTGAACGAGCCAGTTTGTGGATTAACTGTGTCACACATGAAAAGAGACAGCACAGAGCCAAAATCAGGTTGGAAAGACTTATTAGCTCAGATTCAGTGCCATGCAAACACAGTTCTGACATTTTTCAGGCATAACTTGAGCCCAGCAGCAGGTTAGCAGCTCCCACATAAGTCTTGCCAGCCTCAACTAGCTGTATGCAGCACTAACACTGATCTTGGTACTTGCAAGCAGAGTGGCTCAATAAAGTCAGCTCAGGCTGCCTGCCAGGCCTGCTGGACTCAGGCTGGCTCCTACACGGTATCTGGGTGTCTGTGCTGTCCTCTTGAGCACACTGTGTCCTGCAAGGCTTTATTAGTACCACTGAAGAACCAGAGTATGCTGGCTCTGTGCATAGGAGCAACCTGAGCCACTGCACCTGAGCCACCCTAACTCCCCCACTGAGGACAGGCAAAGCAGAAACACACCCACACCACCTCACACAAGCTAGCCCAGCCTGGCAACATCAGTGCTATAATCATGCATAATAAGTTAACTCTTCTGTTCCCTCTGGTCCCTGGATAACTCTATCTGTATATCCAGGTTTCCTAACCTCTCTGCTTCTCTTCCAGCCAGATTAGGTACCAGAGGTGACTGCAAGCTGCTTATAGCCCTGGCAGCTCTTGAGTGAAATGCAGTTATGAAACTTGGAAGAACGACGGGAAAACCACTAAGCAATTACAATTCCGGGACTGTCTTCCCAAGGGAAAGCAAAGTCTAACAAAACATTAGAAGAACCCAACTGGTTTCAAACTGGAGCTTTCTCAGTCGATGAAAGGGATTCTGTAACACTGGATCCCTGGTATTACAAATACTAATACAACAGTAGGAGGTCCTTGCCAGACCCACATTTCTGAAATAAAAGCAGAAAGGATCCCAGCAACAATGAAGCCCTGCTCCTCTAACTGAAGTTTAAAAAAACTTGAATATTAACTCAGAAACTTTGCTACACTCCTTACAGTGAGCATGATCTTACCAGGCATTCCAGTAAGCGAGCGGGTCGAGCAATAACTATCAGAATTTTTCGGACAAGTTGTTTAATAAATGCCAGTTCTCCACTCTCTGATCGCTCTTGAGCCTAAAAGAAAAAAATAAAGTGACAATAAAACAAACTGCATTCAATTAACTACTCAGGAAATTCAAACCTTTGAGGGTTGGAAGCACAAACGCGAGACAGTTTGTCAGTTTCAAGATGCCTGCAGAAACAAGCAGCAATGCTGTTAACTTCTAAGTGAAGCAATCCTGCTTGAACAATTCTAACTCTGTAACAATAAAATAAAAGTGCTTACAATGGACGTAATACTAACTACTACCTTTTTAGTTTTAATATAACTTATTTGGTATTATTACCACTTGCTTTGTAAAAGGTAATACATTTCAATACAACATGCATCTCGATACGTAGAGTAGTTGTGCCTCAATTTGTTAATGACTTTAGGATTATCTGAAAGCTGACCTAAGTAATAGTAATAAACATAAGCTACATCCATGCCAAATTGATACGGGCTTCCTATGGCCATGTGTCATACTAAAATGACAATGACACATGCATATAAAACCACACTTGCAGAGAGGCTCTACATAAAGGTATGTGTAGAAAGACGGACAACGAAAAACTAAGTTCTACAAAGGTGACAATAAAGGTGGGGGAAAATGCTGTAAAAGAATAAATACAGAAAATATTTCTAGCAGGTTTGATGACATTTGCACAATGGTCTGTGTTGCATTTCAAATTTCTTTCAAATGTTAACCTCTAAGAACTAATGATATAATTTAAGGATGCTAATGAATACAAAGAAACGGTATTGTTCTCCTCATTAAAATAGACGAATAGCCCTTCACTCAAATATCAAAGCATTTCTTTGTTCTGAAGAGTAGAAACTGTGTACTTAAGTTTTTCCTTATCTCTTGCTTATTCAAAACCACAAAGAATTAAAAACCTAACATTTTAGAAGTTATTAATATGGAGAAATAAGTACTTTTTATACAATATATATATTTTATCTTTTAAGTTTAAAAAATGCTATGAAAATATGAAGCTACATATTGCTCTTAGTATAAATACTACAATTTTAAGACAACATCAAATATTTAAGAAAAATTAATCTGTGAAGTGTAAAGAAGGAAAAAGAAAAAGGCACTAATACCATCTAGCACTTTACAATAGGTTACAGAAGAATTTTACTGGGACATTTGTGTTCTGCACACTATCAACCGAGACCAAAGAAAACTCTTTTGTAAACAAAACACCTGTCTATTTCAATCACCAGCAAAACTGGGGGTTACGGGGAGTTAAGTCAATGGGTAAACATGTACTCTAAACTGTACTTATTGTGTAGCCATTTAAAGTGATTCAGAGTGGTTCAGTGAATCTTGATTTAAACATGTTTCCTTGCATTTGAATATTATCATTAGCATAACATAACTCATAGTAGGGTATCTCTAGTCAACTGGTCAACTGTGCCCACACTTTGGCCTTATAAAATGTGAGCACTTCACAAGAATGGCACTAGTTCAAACTTCCTTTTGACTAGCGAGCAAGCTTTATGTATTTTCTCTTTAAAAAATAGGGTTTCAATAACCCAGAAAAAGATCACTGATGTCTTAAGTTTTGCATTGCTTTATGAAGATAAAAAGTTCAAAATACAGTAGTTGCAGAAAATTAATTACTGAATGGGCGTTAATAAAAAAGCAGCACAGGGGAAAAAAAATAAACCAAAACTTTTTTGAATGCTCCTGCATTCAAAAGAAAGCAGAAGGAAAGACATAAATTAAGACGGGCACGGTATCCTAAAATCTCAGTTGGAAAATTCCAAGTTGATATAAAATTTGCTGGCCTATCACTTCAACTTTTGCTCAGAATGTGCTGTCAAATCCCATGCAAGTGAGTACATTACATGCTGTACTCACTGTTTTAAACATGATGCATTCATAAACCATAGTTATGTCATAGCACGTTTGTTTTGTCAAACTCCCAAGTTGTTCTTAATTCATTTACCTGACTATTGTATGGAACTTTCAACGCTTTAAGAAATTACATTATTTCTGTTCATAAACAGTTTAATTATGAAAGGAATATTATAAATATTTAAATTAAATAACCTCCAGCTAATGGAAAGCTAGGGGTTGCTGTCTGCTTTCTCAAGCAGTAGGGTTGATAAAGTGGAAACTGTAATGTTTCCTCATTTATCCACAGTAAATGGAATACTAAGCGTCCTCATTTAGGGTTTATGCACACACTTCTGTAAGGTATTTATAGCTTGCACTGCATGACAAAATGCTGTAGTTTCTGAAATCTTTACAGTGCATCTATTCCAGGCTAGTACACCAGGATGCCTTATAGTCTTTGTAGTGGTCATTATATAGACTAAAACTGCTACGAATACCCATCTGACCATTATTTGAGCGAACAGTGATGATTACTGCACAACAAGAATTTCTAAGCAAACAGATTTAAACAATCTTTCAAGCAAACTTAACAGTAATCTCATGGCTCATACCTCCTGTAGCAATTTGTCTAATTTCTGCTGTAATTCAAGGAAGTATCGTGATGTTATGAGGCCTTGGTGGGATTTATCCAAACAATCTCGAGCCAGTTCTGTGATCTGATGATGGGTAAAACTGAGCACTCCATCTGCCAGGGGAAGGACATTATCTGGGGAGTAATTTGTTATGATGTCCTGAAGCCTCTCTTCCATCTGAGCTGTGGCCTACAGACAGACACACAATATGTTAAATCAGTTTTACATTAAACAAACAGCCACAAAGCTTATTGCCGATCCTGCAATGTCTCTATACTGCTTAAGAAGTTACCTAGGTGGAATATATGAAATGACTGACGCAAAAAAGTAAGCAAACAGAAGAGTAATGTATCAGATTACATTTTTTTTTCCAGTCAAGAAAAGCAACAGCCTTACTGTTCTGCTACAGAGATCCTCCCTTTTGTCTGCCATTAGCGATTCACTGATCTTGTGATAATAACTAAAAAGAACTAAAGGACCACCCATGACTAAAACTTTAAGACAAAGTAAAAAAATTTTTAAAAAGAGAATTCATGGAAGTCTATTTGTCTGTTTTGCTAAAACTGCAGATACTACAGACAAAAGTATCTTCCTTACTTTCATCAGGTTATACCACAAAAATATTTCACTGGACAGAGTCTGAATGCACACTGACTGATTAAAAGCACCACAGGCTCAGAGGTGCTGTCATGTGTGTCTGCAGGTTGCTAAATGTGTCTATTTTACAGAACCAACTGCCTGGTTCTCACAGAACTGCAGATGTTTAAGAAAACCTTGAAGATATTTTTAATAATAAAAAGTAATCCCACATGTCTTAGTTCATATCTCGAGCACTGAAATGAGTGGGTCGTCCCACACTTCAGATTTTTGCTCAATCGCTCTGCAAACTCTGACAAATCTCACTTCATATTCCTATGAAGAAATTTCTACAATTTTAAGGCATTTTTTGAACAGTATAAGCTTTATTTAATTTTGTTTTCCCAGGATCATCAAAATCCCAAGAGAAATTAAGAGCAGAGTGCTCTTACACATCTGCACCTAGGAAATAATTTGTCTCAGATCTCTGGACACAACAGCGGCGTGTCTCTCATTTAGTATTAGTCAAACTCCCACAACTGTGTACTGATGTTCACAATTAAAATAGGTATACAATGAGTGTTTGTGAAAAGGAGTAAATGACACTAAAGGAAGGAATTTGGAGGTATATCAGCAGGTGCTGCACAAGACTTAGTAAACCAAGAACAGTATACATTTGCCACATGTAGTACATACAACCTACTGAAATCGAGTGTACCATCACTTTCCAGTAAGCAAGATGTATTACCAGCATGATTCATTTCAAAACCAGCAGCTTTGCCAAATGAATGTCCAGTTCCCAGCAGGGATTTTTCTTATTGTGATTTTATCTTTGTAATAAGAGCTTGGTGATGCTTTTTGAAAGCCATTACAGGGTTGGATCATTAGTTCCCATAACAAAAACACCACTTACTTAAAACTTACGTAGCCTATCAATTTAGATGCTGGGTATCTTAAATATAATTCATTACCTTTGGGAACCTTTCTTTGTAGACATGGTTCATCATAATTATTTCATTGTCACAGCAGGCAGGAGAACGTCCAGGGCTGCAAACAAAGCAAATTATCCCTTTAAACTTGTCTCAACACGAACTAAAGTTCATTATTATATTTTTGTACGGTTTATTTACAACAAAAAATTAACAGAAGTTTCGCTGGAAAGTTACATTCTCATCAGTGGTACACTTGGTTCCCCTTCTGCCATTTCTGACCAGGCCTTAAAAGATTATTTCATGTGCTTGACATTTAACTGCTACCTATGTTATTTTCTTAGTTTACAACCACACTTCAGAATACAGGCAGTTTTGCAGTACTTGTGAACATCTCCTCTTTCTCAGAAGCGCATCAGAGATATACTTAACTGTTAATTATGGTTATGTCTGCCCCTTGAAGGTTACATACAATCAAAATCACAAGACTTGACCAAGAACTCTGTTAGCAGCACGTGAAAAAGTTGTGAAGAATGAGTACTTTTTTATTTTTTAAACAGATCATTAAAAAAGCATCAAAGCAAACTACTTCCAGTTTGACCAGCAGATAAAGGCAGCAACATCCTACAAATAATGCCATACATGTATATGGGTTCCATCAATGCACCAGTAAGAAAAGCGCAAGACTGGCAGGAAAACAATCCAGAAAAGGTACCCATGGCCTCAGCTAATCCACAGAACTGCTTTGTGCTACCCTGGGATATCAGTTCCTTTGAAAAATCTCTATCTGATCTTCTTGGCTTGGTGACATTGCCCCATTCAGTCTGGTCTAAAAGACGCAAGTAGGAAAAAGACCACACAAAAAGCATGCTATGCTCTAGGAGTGAATCTATCGTAACACACACACGGGAGTTTCTTGCATGAGCAGAAGAACTAGCTTCTGGCTTTTGAAAAGGACAAAAATGAACACTAACATTTGTCCCAGAGTATCACAATGGTGCCCTTTAACTGATATGGACAATCTGTTACAGACATCCACAAACAAATACACCGAGGACCAGGTAGGTACACAATTTCATCACAACACTTCTGCAGCATAATCCCTCTTCTGAAAATGCTTGGCTCTTCTTTTTTCCCTGGAGCATTTGTACCCATTCTGTGAGATCAAATGGAATATTTTCATTTTCTAAGTGTTAAAAGCATAACAGAAATTGAAAAAATAAAGATGTGGCAAAAAATACGGTACAAGTTGTAATCTTCTAACAGAGAAACTGGATTCTTTTTCTTAGTAATTGTGCAGTTTCATGCAGGTAGCAACCTCATTTGTAACAACAGTCTACACAGATTTTAAAATAAAATAATATAAAAGCAGAGTTAAAATATTTTGCACTAAAAACCTAAATCCTTAAGATTTGTATACCTGTGAAACTTCAAACTTTTGAATCAATACGACAATTAGAAATAATACTTCCTTTTTTTTCCCCTTACAGTTCTTTAAAAAAAAACACCTTAGCATCTACATTTTCCAAACCTAAACTATTCTGACAGTTTAGAACTGATCTGGGACAACACACATTTACACAAATGGCCACTGCAAATAAAATGCAGAGGTCTAGCCTTTGGTAAACATGAAACTGAAGTTTATCTTGGTTGAAGACGAGAAATTGATGCATAAACCTGCCTCCCCTCACCCCATTTGTTCTTTATCACATTTCTTTCCAGATAGTCCTAGGATATAAATACATTTTGAATTAGTTTTGCAAATACTTCAATGATAACAGTTTGAGCTCTGAAAGAGAACTATAGCTATAGTCAGACCAACACTGACAACAAGACAGGGTTTGTTGCCATCCTTTAGGCCTAGCTTACAATGTTAACCACTGAAGTAAGTCATGATCAAAATTAGGAGGAAGAATTTAAATGAACTATTCATAACTCAGCCTCAGACGTGTACCTCTTGAATTATACTTCAGCAATTACAAAAATAGTGAATACTTCCAATGTATAAAACCATGATGCTCCAGGACATGTGAATTTAGATTGAACCTGTTTCCAGAGAAACAAACTCACCTGAGACTTCGGGACCGAGGGCGCATTGCAGTGGTCCTGCATCTGCTATCACTGGCAATGCTCTCAGTGGTACAGAAATGTTTAGACAAAAAATGTAGCTCATCAGGTGTCGGTTGATATGGTAACTGGTGTAGCTTCTCTTGGGATGAGCAGGATGACTACAAGAGCAGAACAGAACACGAGCTTCTCTCAGAGTGGACATTTTCAAGACCATATTCAGTGCTCATGAATAAAGCCACTTAGTTTAAAAATTACAGTTACTGTTTCCCATGCCTAATGACAAATTTAAAGACAAAAAAGAGTATTTAGTCTGAACTTAATAAGCTAAACAGACTAGGTATAAAAAACAAATAACCTACTTAATACCAGAAGAAAGAGACATTGTATTTCAAAAGTTCAAATTTCCTCTTTGACAAAGATGACATCTGATGTCAGTAACACACACTAATATATAAATAATATTTAAAATGCAGTCTGGTGAAAATTAATTGAGTAGGACGCCATAAGTATGATAAATGTGGGATCCAACTTCTTGCTCTACATACCGACGGTACTTCATAATCCATATTTTAGATAGTATTGATGCTTTTAAAAATAATATTAAATATAATCTAAATTCTCACTTAAAATCATATGCTATTTTCTTATAAAACTCTGTATACTTAAAATGAAGTGAAAGAAATAAACCTAACAAGACAGATTCTGTGGCTGACAAGAGTGAAAAGGATTACACTCAAACCATTCACTTAGTATGAAATTTAAACATACAGACAGCTACGAAATTGGAAGTGCTACCACAATAACTAGCCTTGCAAAATTGCACATACAAAGACATAGTACACAAAGCAGTGCAGATGATCATACTGTCATATCACAGAATCCCAGAATGTTAGGAGTTGGAAGGGATCATCCAGTCCAAGCCCCCTGCCAGAGCAAGATCATCTAGACTAGATTACACAGGAACACGTCCAGGCAGGTTTTGAATGTCTCCAGAGAAGACGACTCCACAACCTCTCTGGGCAGCCTGGTCCAGTGCTCTGTCACCCTCACAGTAAAGACATTTTTCCTTATGCTCACATGGAACCTTCTATGCTCCAGCTTGCACCCACTGCCCTTTGTCCTGTCATTGGGCATCACTGAGAAGAGCCTGGCTTGGTCACAAATATCCCTACGTGACTTGGTAAAGCTGCTCAGTACCATGCAGACATTCTCTTTACTTTACCTGTGGAGGGGAAGGATTCAAAAAACTTGTACTTCCTTCTGGAGCTCTTCAGTCTCCAGCTTGCTTTTTCAACAAAATGAGATTCTTCTACATGTCAGTCTTCAAGTGCACATTATTGCTCTTATTTGTCTTCTTATATAGGACACCAAGGCCTCTGCCTGGGTGCTCTTTTATTGAAGGCCAGCACAGTAAGAATTTCTTTGCTCTATCATCCCAAGTGAGGGAAGTCAATAACTTTTTGTACTGTACAGACATGGCCCTATATTGCTATGGTCAGCAGGTAATATACAGGCTGGTAAGCACAGAAACTAGACAGTCTTCATCATTTCATGGCAACTTGTGTGGTAAAGGCTGAATATACCCTAATTCCTAGGAACTCCAGAAAAATATTACTTATCACACTAGATCTCATGAAGTCATCTCTTAAAAGCAAAGAGGAAGAAAACCCACTGTTGGGAAAGGTTAACTCGCACAGGACTGGTCTACGTGGGAAGGCTGTGTCCCATCAGAACAAGTTAGCAAAATTGCAATACCGTGCTTTGCTGCAGGCTAAGAAGCCTGCACACCAAGAATTTACCATAGTCCACACGATAGGTACTAACTTGTCAGGTCACAGTAACTCATTTATGAAGTTCAGCTCTAGCACATTATCACGCATAGTTCAGCACAGAGCATAGATGAGTTCTTTCCTATCTCAAGCTATGGCAGCAAGCTGCAGTTACCCTCATGGTGTATTTCCTACAGTGATGCTCAGAGGATAGAAGATACTCTAGCACAAGGATACCTCCCAATACAGACTGTCAGGGATGGTGGTTTCTGTGAAATCAGTCTCTACCTCTTCAGCCTTCAGGGGATTCTTGGAAGATCAGGAAGACAATAACCTGTATCATACTTTTCCTCATATAAGGTGTCATAGAGTCTAGATCCAACAGGATTAAAGTGAAGATCATCCTTTCACTAACAGCTCTTTGTTGTATCAGGACCATTACAGGCACAAAGTGAGTGTTCCTGGAGTTCTGAATTCCGATTTCTGTACAAATTCAAATAGTTATAGCACAAGTCTTCAAAAAAACAGCTCTCCTGGCATTCCAGAATAGTTGTCAAAAAATTACAGAAGATTTAACGTATTTTTAATATATATACAACTGCAATGCACCATAGCAATGCAAATTTTTCTTCCCAGATAGAATGGTGAATTTGTAGCCAATATCAGCTAATGTAACCCTCAAGTCTATTTCCTCATCTCCTTGCCCTATTTTCCCATCCAATTAAGCATCCAAGAACACAGACTACTGGCAAAAAAGTACAACTCTGTATTCTCTCACTTTGTTACAGGCTTGCTCTAATACAAGACACACAATCATCTCAACTGCATCTCGTAACTGGCAAGATCTGATCCAACAATGCTAGAGCATAACACATCATGAGTTTCTTTTCAATCAAATAATCGTATCAAGAGATATTTTCATTTAATTTCAACTTTGTTTTGAGAACTAGTAGATGTTGTACTTGCACCACTTCTAAACCCATGAGCTTCCATTAAGTTGGTAAAAAAAGTTAGAAAAAACGGGCTAAGAAGAAACAGTGAGCTACACTCACCTGAGCATAGTTGTGATTACTACAGACCCTTGTACCCCTGCTTTGACTTTCAGTTGCTTGCAAGAATTACAGTTGTGCTTTACTGCGATGTGTGAAAACCTGGTTTTGGTCTCCAGTCGATACCCCTTCTCTGGATTGACCTTCATCTTAGTTATCTGCACTGAAAGGAAGCGCTCTGTATATGCACTTGTGCTATTGAGTTAGCAGTCCCTCACTGCCTCTAAGAATTTGTAAGAATGTGGAAGGGGAGATGGCATAGTGCGAAACTGAGCCAGAATCTGCACCAGAATCTGAAACTAAACAGAAAAGCTAAATAGAAACTGAATTTGTTTCAGATTCTGAAAAAGTACATAAAACCAATTACATGAGCACACTTACAGTATTAAAAAATATTGATTGCCTCACCAAAATAAGTAACCCAAACCCAACACAAACCCAAAACAATAAAACACCATAAAAAACCCAATAAAGAAACACCAAACAAAAAAACCCTTTAACCTCCCCCCAAAAAGCAAGACAAAAAACAAGAAGAGGAAGAACAAAATAAAAAAATTCCCAAAATAACCAACAAAAAGAAAAAACCAAACCAAACCAAAAATACCCCACAACTGTAAGAAATATCTTCGCCTACATTCAAAATTTTTGGGAAAAACAGGTATCTCCCCACAAGTCCAAAACTGTTCAATGCTAGGAAAGATGTTTATTTTAATATTTATAAGACACAGTCTAGTCAGGAAATATCAAGCTCAACAAGAGTCTATTATGGAATTTATGATCTCTAAGTTGATAAATGAAGTGCTATATTTTTTCATAAGAAATGTAAAAGTGAAGTAAAACTGCTCCACGTTCCAGCATGCATAAGTTTACTAACTACTGTAAGTGGGAAAGAAGCATATGAACTAGAAATACAATTTTAAAATTGCAGATGTCAAAGAAAAAGCTTGTTAGTATGGACTAAAAATTAAAAACTGTGTTTTGATATACGTCTGACACAGCTTTCATTTCCTTTCTAGCACAAGTCTGTTTCTTATAACAATGATGGGGTTGCCATGGCAATTACTTATTATCTGACTTAACCTACTTTACATCAATATATTTTAAGTGAAAAGCACAGCATATTTGTTCTAGTTCCAACGAGAAGGTGTACAAACATTTGTTATAGAAAGCGGTTACGGAATTAATGTGAAACCAAGCAATTTGCTTGACAAAAGACAGATCTACACAGGAAGGAAAGTGGAGGTCAAAAATCAGTCCTG